ATAGTGAAAATGTGCATGTTTGATTATCATAATGTGACATAATGTTGATTCTTATCATCACTCTAAGGCAATAATGCCACGAATTATTGTTGAGAATCCATGTGCATTCAGCAATTGCTTTTCAAGCTTATCATGTAATATTCGTTGAGTAGATTATCGTAGTATATTTGAAAGCTCAAAATCAATTTTAAATGAATGAGAAATTGTGATGCAAAGTTTGAAAAAAGAAGAAGAAGAAGAAGAAGAAGAGGAAAACTGGCCTAAACTTCTGCCTAACTTCGTTGCTCGCCTATTGTTTGAGCGAGAGGCGAGTGAAAAAGGTTTTGTTAAAATTTTGACACTGGTGCTTGAGCGAGAGGTCGGTGACAGGCTAGCGTCAGCAAGTGATGCTTCTGTTCATAAGGTTGTGAGGTTTGAAACACAACAATTCAACCACAACCCTCCATATCCTCTATAAATGTACCCTTTGGACGTCCATAATGTATTCATATCACTTTTTCATTGAGAATTGCATTAAATCTCTTGCAAAAACTCTCCAAAAATAATCCAACTCCATGGGATACTTTTCTTTATTAGATCAACTACTACCAACTACTATATAAGATCTTCCTTAATTTTCTAGCGTATTGTAAACAAGTTGTTTCAATCATCTTTCCTTCCCACCGTGACTCCAAACAACCCATCCTTCATTTCCTTCCGTGTTTCTTTTTTTGCAAATATTTTAATGTTTGACTTAACCATCTTGTTTTGTGTCTACAATGAACATGTTTTGATATTTGACTTAGTCATCACGTTTGTTTTTACATTGAACATGTTTTAATATTTGATATAGCTAATCTTCGTTTCACATGTTTAGCCTAATTAAATTATTTTAAGGGTAAAATGGTCAACCTAACAACCCAATGTAGTGCATCTTATTGGATCCTTTATTTTGCAAAGAAATGAGTTGTTACATATCAAAGGGGGTGATGTTATTTTAAAAACCACGTTTAATGAAAAAGTCATCTTTAATAAAGAGATAAAGTCAACGTATGAGTTTGTGTATGAGTTTGATTACGTTTTAAAAACAACTTTATCTAAAATCCTGCGATGTGTTATGAGAGTGATAATTAATATTTTTACGCAACGAGGAGTTAAAAAAGAATATTTTAGCAAAATTGACTATGAAAAATTCAATTTCATTATATATATAGTTTTTTTTTAATCATGGGTATTTAGGCTAGCTTGCGTGCACCTCCACTAATCCCACGAGGCCCTCAAGTTAATGGCCAGATAAATCTCCAGTGGCCCTGAGAGGGACTCGAACCGATGACCATTAGGGAACAAATCTAAAACCTGATCACTGAGCTAATCCCTCAAGGTTCTTCTTATATATATATATATATAATTAATTTAGAGGCAAGTAGAGATAGGCAAGACTCGAACTTAGGCATGTATCTGTTTTGATATCATATTAAAATTAAACTGTAGAATAATAATTTTGGATATGCGTGTTCCACCCCCTCTCCACCAACAAATATAGAAGAGTAATTATTAATTAAATGAAAACCATCACCTGGGATGAATGCGGTTCGGTTTGAACGGTTTGTACTATATTTTCAACTCAAACCATTTTATGCTGTTTGAAATTCCGAACCATTTCATTTTTTGAACTGAATCAAACCAAACCATATTTGCGATTTGGTTCGATTTTAATTCGTGGTTTACCTATCGACATTATAGTAATATATTTAACATAAATTAACATATAAATTTAAACGAGAACTAATAATGTTAAATATTAAATTACATTCATATTTACAATGAAACTCATGAATAAATTATTTTTAAATTTGGTTGTTAAAAGATGTAATGGAACAAATATATATTTCTTCATTTTTATTTATCTTTTTTTGTTTGACATTCATATTGTCATATAGTGGTTGATAATTGTAGAATTACATTATGCTATTATAATTAGGTTAAATCTCCTTTTGTCTTACTAGTGATATGTTAAATAAAAATTGAACGGGATATATTTAGATGTACAAAAATTGATAGAGTTTCGACTTATTGAGAAATGGACGAATTTCATTCTCTAACTAGTTTACGAAAGTAAAAGGTAGTAGTGCTAATTAAGAAACTTTAATATTTTTACACAATCAATACGATCCGTCATTCATTCTTTCCAAACCACAAATAAATTTATTAATCATTTAAGCATACAAACAGTTATTTTATTTTATCCAAACCACAATTCACAAGTGTATAATAAGTTCCAAAACAACAAATAAAAAAAAAGAACAAAAAAAATGAGTTGAATGAAAATTTGAGACTTATCGAAAGAGAAAAGAGAAAGATGCAATTCAGGTGTGTGTGTGTGTGTGTGTCTATATATATATATATATATATATATATATATATATATATATATATATATATATATATATATATATATATATATATATATATATATATATATATATATATATATATATATATATATATATATATATATAATTCATTTCATATGATTTTAAAATAATTTTAGTTTAGTTTAAATATTAGGTGTGGACATGTGTTATGAACTTGTTAACCATATGTCAATAATGATGAAACAAATTTACTTTCTATGATTATTTAAATATGTTGGTCGTAATTTGTATTGCTAAGTTTGTATTTTTTTGAAAACTGAAAACTGTAAAATTTTTAAGTTAATAATATTAATGTTTTAATTAAAAAATTTTAAATATGGTTCGGTTCGATTTTGTGCGATTTTTGAAAATTTAAATCTAAACCAAAACATTTTGAAACAGTTTCGTTTGATCTAAGGGAAAAAAATCATGTGTCCACATGGACCCAAACCAACGATTTCAACTCGGTTTGCGATTTTACGGTTCTTTTGAGCAGCCCTATCCAACACCGACTTAGGGAAGGTCCAAGAATTTTCTAAATAAATAGGTGATGATTTCTTAAGCTACTTAAATTTCAGAATGTTCCCTGAAGCTGTCGATGGGGAAGGAACTAGAATGCAACAATAATTTCAAGATCACCACCATACTAAAATTCTCCAAATATAGGAAAGCCGTAATTCCACTAACTCTCCCCGAGTCCAAGAATTTTCAAGATAAATAGGTGATGATTTCTTAAGCTACTTATAATTATTTTTTTAATCACAAATTAAAAATTTTATGTCACAAATTATTTTACGATCATAATTCAAAAATTTTGTAGGTCACAGTTTATTTATTGTTCAAAAATCAAAAAATTAATTGGTCACGAATTAATTTTTAGTCACAACTCATTAAATTATTGATCACAATTTATTTCTCGATCACAAATAAAAAATTTATAGGCCACATTATTTTCGATCACAAATAAAAAATTTTACAGGTCACAAATTATTCATTGATCACAGAATCAAACCTTTCATTGGTCACGGCTCATTTATTCATTGCAAATTATAATATTAATTTTTCAATTACAACTTAATCAATTGTGAGTCACAGTCACAATTTCTAGATCACATATTACAAATTAATCAATTATTAATTCCAATCAACCAAATAATTGATCACAAGCATCCAATCCCATCTCATCCCACCCAAAAACACCCCACCACCACAATAGAGCACCTTCACCAATAGAGCCACCACCACCTCATAACAACCACCACCACCTAATGACAACCTATCAACACCACAGCACAACACACCACTACCACCTCACTACAAAACTGATCAACCCCAGCAAATCAACATATTAACCACCATAACAGAGCAACGCCTCATCTTAACTAATTCGATGATCAAATTTACCATAATAATTTGAAAATAGAAGTACTTAATGTAAAGAAATTATAGGGCGGACGCATGCTATAAATTGTAAATGTTGACAAGACGAAAGCAAGAAAAATGGAGAGAGAGACCTTAAATAAAACAAGGTATTCAAAATGAATTGTCTACTCACAAGGGTTTAAAATTAGTTCAACAAACAAAAAGTCTATTCTACCTGACCAAACAAAAAAATAACAAAACTACCCTGAACAAAATAAACATAAAATATAGATGCTAACACACTAACATTCCCCTCAAACGGCTACAGCGGGAGTTTGTCAATCAAAAAACAGAAACGCTAAACACGGTGCAATTTTGTGAAAAGGTCAAAAAGCTGCATGGAAGAAGGAACATAGCGTAGGAGATAATGATATGTTAAAGATGGAGAGGAATGAGATGACAATCAATTCAATATCCTTCTCACTTCTCCAACACATAAAAAACACCCAAAAGTACATAGAAATCGTGGTGGATTTGGGATAATGGAGTCACTAGCCAATCAACATTATAGTACATAAACAAGTCTAAAGATGAGGTTGATGGAAATAAAAAGACTTCGAAAGCATGTGCCAAAAAATAGGAATAACACCAACCCAAAGAAATGTAGTGGACGAGACAACGCACCAACTAACAATATAATGACAAACAATATCGGGACGAGTAATGGTAAAATATACCAAACAATCAACTATATTACAATGTAAAGTAGGATTTGTTAAAGATGTACAAGTAATGGGAGGATATGTAATGTTAGTCTCAAAAAGAGCATCTCCAATCTGAGTATCAGAGAGAGAAGCATGCTCAATGAGATCTATGACATACTTAAGCTAAGACAGAAAATAACTATTGGGAATGTAAGATCTATGCCCACAAAGTAATGGAAGGGCCTAGTCCTCCATTTCAAATTAATGAGCTAATTCTAACGTAGAAAACAATTCCATCAACATTTACCACCAATAATAGTCATATCCTCAGCATACAAATAAAGAATAGTACAACCAGGAGAGATGCACCAAACAAAGTGGAACCATAATGTCAGGATAAAAAACCAAGAAAGGAAATATAATAGATACATGTTTGGTAAATATAATAATTCTCGTAGTTGAAATTATAAGTAAAAACGTAGTAAAGAGAAAATTTTATCAAAAAATAATAATAAAAATAAATAAATAATAATAATAATAATAAAGATGAGTAAGCCACTCTTCAATCACTTGAGGTAATAATAATCCAGCAATATTTCGTTTTATCAAGACAATAGGTAATCTCTGCAATTTTATCAAATTAATACAAACAGAAACTCCACCTAAATGACAATAACCAATTACGCAGCTCCAGGTGCTTTTTAAACACCAAGATACATGTTTTACTAGTATTTGGATGCACTCCAGTTCTACTAATTTATAGTGGCTAAGGAAAGTGGTAATGTTTCAACTCACAGCACTGGCAAGAAGAGCAGAGAATGACGGCAATTCTAGCCTCAATTAATTCATGAAAGCTTGTAGGAAAATCAAAAACTTGTAACATATTAATACTCAGAAGGTCCAGAGGTTCGAGATATTAAGCTACATACTGTACGTATGAGAGGAATGGTGTATGGTCCTTCGAGTAGACCCTGAGCTATCCAGCGGTAGGCTGCCTCTGTAAAGTGTATACCATCCCAACTAACATATTGAGAAGGATCATCACAAACGGTTGCTGGTGGAGTGCTGCATGGCGCCGATGCATTGTAGTTGTATGGTCCTCCTGCTCCACAGCATGCTCTAAAAACATTTGTAAATCCTGCAACAACATTGGACAAATGTAAATTATGGTCCGAAACGAAAAATATAGAATTAATAGGAAAGGGCAGGGGAAGGCATAACAAAAGTTTCAGTGAACTAGAATTGCTGATATCATTATATGTTGAGAAGTACCAAATTTGTTTGGAGAAAGATAAATGCGCATTGCAGCATTGTAATAATCTCCATATATAATGGTGGCATGAGGATAAAGACCACGTATACGGTTCAGTTCCATCTGAAGCAGATCATTATGGTGCTCAGAAAACCTGTTTAACCAGTTAAGACAACCAGTTTTACGGTCATATTCTTTTTCATCTGAGTTCTTGTAATACGAAAGATAATAAGGCACACAACCACTTGGCAGGTTCCCCGGAACAATCACTGTACTGGCTCCAAGCTTAATTAATTCCTGCTTTACAAACACAATATATAATTATTTATAGGAGTAATGTGAGTTAGCAGCATATGCAGAGTGTAAATCCTATGGGCCCTATACTCGTATAATCAAATAGATTCACAATATTCAACTCTTTCAGCCGAATCAAGGTGCAGAAAATGTCCAAGTATGGAAAATATTGGGGATGGAAAATTTTGATTAATTAGAGATTTTGTATATTAGGATAATTGGTTTGTTTCCTTATTAGCCAGATTTTTTTCCTTTTTCTTTCAACTAGTGTATTATAAATTGATTGTATTATTGCTGGAATTTAGATGAATATACACAGAAATTCACTCCAATATTATCTTCATGGTATCAAAGCCTAGGTTTCTCTAACCTAGCAACTCAATGGCAGAATTCCCAGCCAATAGAAGGGAATCAACGACCTATACAGCATCCGAATTCGAAGCAGAGGCTATCTCCTTAATCGGTTCTAATGGGCTGGAAACTTCTTCCTTCCAACTCATGGTGGAGAAATTGAATGGGAGGAATTATCCAGACTGAGCCCAATCTATAAAATTAGTAATCGACGGTAAAGGGAACTGATTTACCTTATCGACGAGACCAAGAGACCAACCAAGAGTATCATGTTGCAGAAGTGAAAGTCCGAAAACTCCATGGTAACTGCCTAGTTGGTGAATTCCATGAAACCGGCAATCGGAAAGGCATACCTCTTTCTTCCAACCGCAAAAGATGCTTGGGACGCAGCGAAAGATACCTACTCCGATTCGGAAGATTTCTCACATATCTTCGACATCAAAACTTGATTGTGGCAGACCCGACAAGGTTCGAGAGAGGTAACGGATTACTATATGGAAATGGTTGCTCTTTGGTAAGAATTGGACCTCAGTGGAAGAATGGAAGTGTGGACACGACTGCACCTTGTACAAGAAGAAGCAGGAGAATAAACGAGTGTACGAATTTCTTGCAGGGCTAAACCGCGAATTAGATGATGTTAGAGGCCGAATAATGGGTCGGCAACCGCTACCTCCCACTTGCGAAGTGTTCTCTGAAGTCCGACGAAAGGAGGCACACTAGGTAGCAATGATGAAGGAGAGCACCTCTGCGTTAGCTGCAAGCAGATCCCAAAACTTGATAAATAATGGACCAAGTAACTGGGCACCAGGAACTGGGTCTTCTAAAATAAATGGGCCTCATAAATTACATCTAGATTTGGGTCAGATAATAACATTTCTGGTGGATTTGGACCAGTCAGACTTGGGGGAGGAAATTTGGGCCTATCATCAAAAGGAAGTAACGAAGTATTGATGGATCCAACCTAAAATTGCGAGGACGACCCTAGTGTGAACATTGTCGTAGGCCAGGACATAAAGAAGACACATGCTGGGAAATTCATGGTAAACCTACTGATTGAAAACCAAAAAAAATTACTAGGAGCCGAGGGTATCAAGCCGAAACCGAAAATAATTGGACTTCTGGTGATGCTTTCAATTTAGAACAACTAGAGCAATGTTACCAAATGTCCTCTAGCTTTCAAACATCTGGTCAACAATCCCCTAAAGGTCCTTCTAGTTCTCTTACTCAAAAAGGTAACTTTCTTAGAGCCTTAAGCACCTCACGATCATAAACAGCCTGGATTATTAATTCCAGTGTGTCCGATCACATAACGGACTCATATCACCTATTCTCTTCTTAAACTACTTGTGCGGGAAACATTAAAGTAAAAATTGCAGATAGCTCACTCTCATCTGTTGCAGGAAAATGGAGTATTCGAATATCTGAGTCCATAACATTGAATTCTGTACTTCATGTCCCAAATTTGTCTTGTAATGTGTTATCTGTCATTCAGTTGACAAAAAGTTCTAACTGTTTTGCTAATTTCTTTTGATCTTACTGTATCTTTCAGGACCTTTCATATGGGAAAACGATTGGCAGTGCTAAGGAGTTTGAGGGATTATACTACTTTGAGGAAGTTGATATAAGTAAACTAGGTCATATATTAGACTGTAATTCTGCATCTACTTCTAGAGATAGCAAACTTTTGTTATGGCACAATAGATTGGGACACCCTAGCTTGAAATACTTAAAATGTGTATTACCTTCTATTTTCAATAATAAAACTTATGTTGAGATTCAATGTGAAAATTGTGAGTTTGCAAAACACACGCGTACATTCTTTCCAGCTTCCACGTACAAAATAATCTAAACCCTTCGCCACGATTCACGGTGATTTATGAGGCCCTTCCCGCTACCCTAACCAGACCCAAACAAAATGATTTCTCACATCTATTGATGACCACACTCGGGCATGTTGGGTTTACCTTTTAAAAGGAAAAATGGACGTCCGTTCTATATTCATAAATTTTCACTTTATGATTCAAACACCACTCCAAATTCTGCGCACTAACAATGGCACCGAATACTTTAATACGACATTACAAGACTATCTAAAAAAAATGGGATTGTCCACCAAGGTTCATGTCTCAACTTTCTCCAACAGAATGGGATTGCTGAGAGAAAAAATAGACACCTACTTGAAGTTGCCTATGCTTTAATGTCCACTATAAACATGTCAAAGACGTTTTGGGGGGATGCCATTTTAACTTTTGCATATCTTATCAATCGAATGCCTAGCCGAACTCTCTTTCGAATCACCTATACATAGACTCCAATAGCACTTCCCAGCTTCCCACCTCAATTCAAATCTACCTCTCAAAATATTTGGTAGTTCTACCTTTGTACATATCCACTCTCATCTCCAAAATCAACTTGAACCACGTGCAATCAAATGTGTGTTTCTTGGATACTCACCTACACAAAAAGGTTACAAGTGCTATGACCCGTCCAACAAAAAACTCTATGTCAGCCTAGAAATAACCTTTTTCAAAAACACCCCCTACTACAAAAAACCTCATCTTCAGGGGGAGAATATGAGTGAAAATCAGTTATCAAATCGAGAATTATTAAAAACTTGATTTCAAGGGGAGATGATGGAAAACATAGTGACAAAGAGTTATTAGTCTACTCAAGGAAGCCAAAATTAAAGTACAAGGAAACTCTTACACCTGAGGCACCAAGAGAATCAGAACCGGTGATAGGACCTAAAGAGATCCCATCCAATGAATCTTCAGATCTAGACTTATCTATTGCTATCAGAAAACAAACTCGGTCATGACTCTCCATCTTATTTCAAATTTCATTTCTTATAATGCTCTATCTACAAAGTTTGGTACTTTCACAACTAACCTCGATAAAACAGAAATCCCACTGAATATTCAAGAGACCTTAGAATCACTTAAATGGAAAGAAGGAATAATGGAAGAAATGAATGCTTTGGAAAAAAATAAAACTTGGGAAGTTAAAAACTTACCGAAGGGAAAGAAACCCGTAGGCTGCAAAAAGGTCTTTAATGTAAAGTACAAAACAGATGGGACAATAGAACGCTATAAAGCGCATCTAGTTGCCAAAGGATACACTCAAACCTACAGCGTCAACTACACTGAAACATTCGCACCAGTGGCAGAACTCAATGCAGCTCGAGTTCTCTTATCATTCGCAGTAAATCTAGACTGGCTGCTTCAATAGTTAGACATTAAGAATGCTTTTCTCAATAAGGAATTAGAAGAAGAAGTTTACATGACAGCATCACCAGGCTTCAACAACAAATATGAGGAAAATCAAGTGTGTAAATTGAAGAAATCTTTATATGGACTTAAGCAGTCACCGAGAGCGTGCTTCGGTAGATTTGCAAAGGAACTAAAGATGCAAGGATACCAGTAAGGGCAGTCAGATCACACCATATTCTTCCAACAATCCAGAGATGAGAAAAAAACTATCTTAATTATATACGTAGATGATATAACCCTAGCAAGGGATAACATAGCTGAAATAGAAAGACTAAAGAAGTGTTTAGCCACTGAATTTGAGATAAAAGACTAGGACAAATGCAATATTTTTTAGAAATGGATGTTGCAAGATCAAAGAAAGGTGTTAGTGTTTCCCAAAGGAAATACATTCTCGACCTTTTAATCGAAACTGGCATGCTGAGATGCAAAACAAGCGACACACCTATTGAGGTAGAAAAATTATCAAAGGACACCGGGAACTCAGTGAAAATAGGCAACTATCAAAGACTATTTGTTAATCTATCTCTCATATACTAGACTGACATAACTTTTGCAGTCAGCATGGTAAGCTAGTATATGTATTCTCCAAAAAGGCTCACTTGGAAACAGTATATAAAATTCTTAGATATTTAAAAAGCACCTCTGAGAAAGGGCTGTTCTTCAAGAAAAATAAACACAAAGGAGTAGAAATATTCACCGACGCAGACTGGGCTGGATCAATAGAAGATAGGAGGTCTACTTCGGGCTATTATATCTTTGTATGGGGAAATTTGGTAACTTGGAAAAACAAGAAATAGAATGTAATGACATAAAGCAGCGCGAAAGCTGAATTTAGAGCGGTTGCACAAGGAATATGTGAAGGATTATGGATAAAAAAACTCTTAGAAGAACTCAAAGTTGGAATAGATTTGCCGATCAAACTCTATTGTGACAATAAAGCAGCAATCAACATTTCCCTCAATCTAGTGCAACATGATAGAACCAAACATATAGAACTAGACAGACACTTTATCAAGGAAAATGTTCTAACTAGAGAGCAAACGACAGATATCTTCACCAAAGGGTTATCCAGACAGATTTTCAACGACTTCAACCGCAAATTGAACTTGGTCAATATCTATAGTCCAACTTGAGGAGGAGTGTAGAAAATGTCCAAGTATGGAAAATATTGGGGATGGAAATTATGATTAATTAGAGATTTTGTAATCTAGGATAATTGGTTTGTTTCCTTATTAGGCAGATTTTTTTACTTTTTCTTTCAACTGGTGTATTATAAATTGATTGTATTATTCCTCAAATTTAGATAAATATACACAGAAATTCACTCCAATATTGTCTTCACAAGGCAATAATGATGTTAACACGGAGGAGATATTCAGAAAATAGCAGCCTGTAATTAACTGTTTGGACCAACAGCCAAGTTGTCCTTGTATATGACAAAAGTATCATTTCATACTTCTAATTTGATTTCACCAATGGGGAGTGTAAACTTGGCTATAACTTATACCTAATCTAAATGTTCAGACAGAAACAAAGGAATGTCATATGCAGGGACAAAGAAACAGGAAAATCAAATGAGTTGCAACATTTGAATAAGGTCCTTACGTACTTGGACCGTGAAGCTGATGTCGCTGATAATTGCAGTAACAAAGATTCAATCAATTCTATGTCCGTTCCTTGCACGAACGCGTAATTGTATTCGTTGCCTCCAATCTCCCCCACTAGAATTAGAGATGTTTGAAGAAATGTTTTACAATCTGCAGATAGAATACAAGTAGCCCATGTATTAAATTGACGCAAAGAACAGAAAGGAATACATGAGAATTTAGGAAATATAGACATATTAGAGAAACTAAAATTATTTTCCATAATAAACATATTTTAACAGCCATTGATTTCTTGAACAACCAGATAATGTCATTCTGGTGACATGGAAAACCAAATGCTAAGTATCAATACCGAGACTCTTGCAAACATTGACACATCTGATGCACCAAAAATAATGGAAACTAGGGAGGGATTCATTTGAAAGAGGCCAATTAAAGCTACCTAAGACTTTGTATCTTAGTGTGGATCCTCTATCTTTCAACAAGTGACAAATGCAACTTCTTTTTTAGTTTGTAAAATGATCGCGTTTCAATCAGGTAGAAGACCATGCGGATCCATTGAGCACTATTGGAGAACTTTTATTTTACCATTTTTTTGGATCTTTTATAATGTGTTCTTTTAAAGTATTATTGAGCCATGTTTGTCTCCTTCCTTAATATATCCATACTTTGTAATAATTGCCCTAATATTTGAGAATGGATTCAATCAAGGAAACTAATGAGGGAAATTATAACTCGATAGACGGATAAAATTGTTCAGAGCACATGGTCATATAATAGGTGCAGATAACAACTAATCAAGGAACAGTGTTGGTTGCCTTAAACAAGGCCCCTACTCCTTATTACAATTTGTTATCACCATCCCATGCCTCCCTATCTGTGCTTTCATGATTCATGTAACTTCATTTATATAGTTTCATACTAATCTATGTTGATAGAAAGGTCACACCATCAAAACCTGGTGATACTTTCATCCAATGTTCATATATCTATCTGTGATATGATCTCATCATTGCATAAAGAAATAAAATAACAGATGTAGATAGCAATAGTACCTCTATACCCTACTCTTCACCAAACTATATCATGTTCTCAATATGTTAGTGCATCTATAATATATCTGTTGAAATAGAGTTAATACATTATCCCCCTCTCTAACATTTGAGGAGGATCAACATGGAATGAGGGGAGATTTAATTCAAAGTTTAAATTAAACTTGTCATTGCTTCTATATTGACGGCCTTCTACTACTTTTCTAGCCAAGTATTTTCCTATTTTATCCACACCTACTTGTTTCTACTATTCATATTTATTTTATTCATAGGTTTGCCAATTTTGACCACAGAGCGAGTTAAAGATTAAGTAAAGACTACTCTAGGGAGATTCGATTTCATGCAATGACCTGTCAGATTATACTCACTTTTTTTGTCTCGTCTATCAAGAAACCAATTTCTTCTGAACATCAAATTATTCCCCTCCAGATTATAAATGTATCTGATCCCAATTTCAAATTCCTGAGTTTCACTTTCAATTACATGTTAAGTTATCGTCCTGTGATCAACACAAAGCTTCTATCTTCCACTCTCTGATAGTTAACACTTTCGATGAAGTGCTTCAGCATACGAGGCAAAGATTCTAGATTCTAAGTTTTAAGGCTCAATATCACACCCATAGTTGAAAATATTATCGATGAAGAAATGAAAGTTTACATTAATAAATAAATACTTCCCCTCTCGGGATAAGTACAAGCAAACACATGAAATATAAGCCTTTCAATTACTACACACCTCATAGTGTAATTATATTATTTGACAGGTAGGTTTACCTGGATTTGTCTTGCAGAATGTGGCAAAAAATTCTTTGAAGCAATCCAACTGAGTTCCCAGAAAGACATTAGTCAGAGGATTAAATATTCCACTTCTCTCAAGAAAAGATAGATTAAGTGCTGTAGCTCCAGCAACTGCAAAATTCACACCTTTACTAAAATTTCTGCTACTTGCATTTGTATTTTTACCGCCAATAAATGGTTCCAGAAATGGCAGCCCCAAACTCTGTGCTATAAACAAAAGTCAATGTACAGTCAATTTCAGAAAATCAAAGTATAATCCAGCAGTCAACACGAGTAAAAAAGTTAGCCCAAACACAAAAATAAAAAGCTAACTTTCGGCCCAATGCTCGCATCCCACGTACCAATGATATCAACGATGAGTCGGCCGTCGGAATACAGCCCGGTGGGGTGTTTGAAGAAGGTTTCCCCATAAGGCCATCGCCCGGATTCGGGAGGTTTATCGGGTGGATAAATATGAAACAGATTCCCAGTGTCAGAGAGTGAATCGCCGAAACTGATTATAGACTTGTAGCATCCATGACCATAAGCTTCTTGGTTTGATATTAACATACCAAGGATTAGAATTGCAATTGAGATGGATTTGGTGGAGAAGAAAGGAGCCATGAACCGGATTACTATCAGGTAAACACACCAGTACCGCTTTAATTTTATTAGTCAATCAACTTTAATTTATTTCAGACGTGACTAAACTCTTTAATTTGTTTCAATTACATCACTTGTCTACATGAACCAACAACTTTCACGCTTGATGAAATTCCCCTGTTAGTCTTAACGCCTAGTTGGGCACCGTTCTTCCCAAAATTTAATACAAAATTTAATACTGGCCAGTAGATTTTTTCCATTGCATGATTGTGATGTGCGCTGTTTTATGGAGCCCGAATCGGCAGTTCTGGCTATATTGTAGATTATGCACCATGCACGATCGGAAAAGGAATTTGATGTTTGAGAAAAATAATTATGACACTCTATTTGTTTTTATAAATAATTAAAGTTGAAGTCTTGGAATTTAAATTTGTCACATGTGAAGTCTTTTTTGTGTAACCAAGACTGTATTACCAAGAACCGCGCACAAATATTAATTACCACAAGGGCAACATTAGAGATCCGCAGAGGTAGAGAGAGTGCCGAAGGGGGGTTTGGTTGGGTTGGTTCGGATCATATGTTTTGTTTAATTAGATTGTTTGTCTTACATTAAGAGCTCTTTCAAGTTCGAGTGTGCAATAGGCTAGTTTCTCACGTTGCATATCAAAACCATGCTAAGTGATAACATGATGTATTCAATGGCCTTGCAAGTGCTTAGGGTCCGATTGGCAGGGTTTTTGAAAAAATAAAAGCTGCTTCTTAGTTAAAAGTTTCTTTTCATCATATTAGAATGATTTTTTAGACATATTTTGTCTTACCAGAAAAACTTTTAGAGGTAAAGAAACTCTTCTACAAGAAGTAGAAATGAAATCAGAAGTCCTGCTAAATGGTCACTTACTGTTGGAAGGTTGGGAGGTAAAGTGTTACTTGCTTTGAATGAACTCGACACAATCCCATGTAAAATTTGGTGACTGCTAACATAGTAACATGGAATGCACTTGCTAATATGCTCAATGTCCTTGTTGCAACTTGCAATATGACAAAAAGGTTTTTTCTCCCGGAACGTAAGGATCAAAATCTCTTTTCACTCCTATCAAATAATGTGTTTGTCAAGAGTGCACATTGTAAAAGATATGAAAAGATTGTCTTCATGATATTATATTGTCTGAAAAAGAGTTGCACTTCAGCCACATTTTCTTATTACTGTCTGGACTATATCCTGAGTTTCTTAGAGCGGAGTTCTTCGTGCTTAAAACATATTATGGTGGATTCCCAAAAAAACAAAAGAAAGAAAGAAAGAAAAAGAAAAAATTTTACACATTTCTTGTTGGAGAAATTACAGTGATATTTTGCATATTATGTTCACAAAACGTACCTTATACATTCACGAATTCGAATCAAAGTCTTGACTTACCGAATTTGGATTTGAGAAGATAAATAATAATTACCGAATCTGTTTCCGAACACTTGAATATTGATTCATCCATTTCCATTCTTGAATTTCAACCTTACATAAAATCAAATATGATGAAAGAAATCGGAAATAAGAAAAATTATATGCAAGTGATGAGTTTGACCGAGGCAAGTGTTTGACACTCTTTCCTCAAGATGAATTTGCCTCCCATCGGTGCTAACAGTTTTTCGACAATTATCTCTCAAGATACAACAACCACATCAAACCATAAGAACACTCCAAATGACTTCAACCAACAAATTCGAAATGGGATTCCCTCTCTACCATACTCTTGATTTGAATGCAGGTTATAATCACTTTTACTAAGTATTTGATTCAACATGACATGAAATGAATAATATTGAATATCAACTGAACGTCCAAGGGATCATATTTTTAAAAGTTGAAAGGTTGTTGGTGAAAGGACACACCCAAAATTCAACATTTTTCATGAAAAGTTGCAACCTAATTGTCGCTAGCTTTTTGCCCGTGTTGCTTGCTTTTCGTTGACCTATCGCTTGAGTGACGGTCTCACCCGCTGAATTTCGATTTCCTTCAAATATTGGACCAATTTTCTTATTAATACAAATTGGTCTACATTTCTCTATTAAGTTCCTGGGGATATTTATTTCCTTCAACCTCTTCTCTTGTCTCTTGAGGTTTCCTGGTCATTTATAATTCCTTTAGATATGCATCTTGGCCGTAGTTGCCATTGCTCCACATGACCACAGGGGCAGACGGCATGGGGTCATGTGGGGTCAAATGACCCCACAAGTTTTTGGATTTTATTTTATTTTTTTTTCTTTTTGGGGTTGGTAAACCTAACAACTGCCAATTGCCAAACCCAATTTTCCAATAGTAGCCCACACTTGTGAAAAAATCCAAATCCAATCACTATATCCATATCCATAATCCCATAATCCATTTAATGATTTACCCAAATCCAATCCAACTTATATGATGAGTTCCAATATTTCCAAATCAAATCCCATTTTTTCCAAACTGTCAACTGTCAAACGTGAGTCTTGACTCGTCTTTCTTTTTGCACTCATTTTTTCCACTTTCAACTTTTCTTTTCGCCATCGGCCCTCCACCCGGCAGTCCCTCAGTGGCTCAGCCCCTACTATATAAGTCCACCCCTGCTGCTACTCGACCAAGGACTACGATTAAAATTTTCATTTTTGACCCTTCAGTTCGAAATGTCTAGGTCTGCCCCTGCAGGACCGTATTCTGTGGTTATGCTAAATCGAACATTGTATGCCAAATATGGCGTTTATGAGTTAATTCATTTTGCGAAATGAAGAAAGAGAACATTTACGTCTTGATTATTTCTGTATTTAATTTGCTGTGGTGGCTTGCATCTGACTCAAAATGGCAATAAGATTGTATTTGAGGAGGTTATTAACGGGCTGAAGGAAGCAGGGGTTAGTGTAGAGAGACTCTCAGTTGATCTCCCATTTATATCTGAGATTGATCCTAAGATCCCCTCAAGGCTTTTGAGAATTTGATATAGATATCTAAATACCTAATATGTGAATATTTTTTGTGCCATATTTTTCTCCAGTAAACTGCCTTTGTAATGTAGCATGCAGATATTAAGGTTGTAATATTTTGTTAACGTTTTTATGTTTTTAGTATTAGATAAATTTGAAAATTATGCGTGATAATTTTAGATTAGATGAATGGATAAATAAGTTTTATTTGTACATGACCAATCTTTTTTCCTTTTTGTCTAACGATGAGTTCAATATAAATAATATGTGGGTTGAATCACCAATCAAAAAAAAAAAAAAAAAAAAAATATATATATATATACTAGTCTTGTGCCATGCAATGCATGGCTTGAATTTTATAAAAGGAGATATTAGCATATTAAATAAGGAAACAAAGGGAGACTGCAAACAATAAAAAATTGATTCGATTAATTAAACGATTTAATTATATCAATTAGATATTCAACAATAAAAAAAGTGATTCGATTAATTAAACGACTTACTTATATTGAATATAGTATTATCAAATACGTCATTTATAAGTAAAATAATCACTTAAACTAAAATAATAATGTTTGAAAAAATACATTTGAATTATAGCAACAAGAAATTGAGCCAACAAATTTTTCATCTTAATTATTTTAACATCTAAAAAAAATTTATATATAAAAAAAATTCGATAATTTTTAGAATTTTTTTTTCTTATTGTTACTTTTTCTTCTTGATAAATAAATTTTTAAAATAATCTAATACAATTTTTTGCATAAAAGAATGATTATTAAAAAATTTTACGTTAAAACCAAAAAAAAAAAAAAAAATTTGACGTCAAACAAAAAAGAATTAAAAAGGAAAAAAGAAATAATTTTTTTTAAAAAAAATGCATTTTTAACACATACGTTTAATCTCCGTTTAACTATTTTCGATATTTATTTAGATTATTCTATATCTCTACGATATAGTTCTCAAAATGAGTTTTGAGAGAATGTAAACATTTACCGATTCGATTATCGCACAGTCGTCGATAAATTTTTAAAGTTAGCTCGTTATCGAAAATTTCGAAATATAGTTTGAAAATGCCTACATTGACGTCCGATAACATTTGCTATGATTGACCGTTTCACGCACCGTGAATGACGTACAATACTATGTCGCGAGTACTTCAAAACGATATTAAGAATATAATATTTCGACTTTATTTGATATTCCGTAATGAGCCTGAAAATGAACACAAAAACATAAGTTAAAAAAAAATTAAAAATTTGAATTTAGGCACTCCGCACAGCGGGAGTGCTTGAATTCAAGCACTCCGCGCTGCGCGGAGTGCTGGGAAAATTTTATTTTATTTTATTTTATTATTTTTTTAGGACTTTTTTTTGGGTAATTCGATCATAACTTTGGCTACGGTTATCAGAATCCTGCCCATAACCCCAATTCGAAAAGCTCTTTTCGACGCGCACGTCGTGGCCACCCATTTTCGAGGTCAAAATTCGATGTTTTCCCTTCCAAATCTCCTATAGTTATTTTCTTCATTTATGCGTTTGATGTACGTTTAACTATTTTCGATATTCATTTAAATAATTCGATATGTCTATAATATAATTTTCGAAATGAGTTTGATAGAATATAGAAAATATATTTTTTTATAGATGTTGCGTAAAATATTTTTTTTTTATTTTTGGCATAAAAATTTCTAATAAAATTATTATCGCCCTACTTTTCTTAATTCCTTTACGTAAAATGTATAAAAAAATATATTTTCTATATTATATCGAAACTCATTTCGAGCACTATATCATAGACACGTCAAATGATTTAAATGAATATCAAAAATAGTTAAACAAACATCAAACGCGTAAATGAAGAGGAAGGGAAAATAGTGAATTTTGACCTCGAAAACGATGTCCACCCAGCCTAGCAAGGTGGCCACGACGTGCACGTCGAAAAGAGCTTTCCGAATTGGGGTCATGGGCATGATTCTGACAACCGTAGCCAAAGTTATGGTCTAATTACCAAAACAATCCGTAAAAAGAAAAAAGAAAAAAATTTTTAGTGAAGTACTCCGCGCAGCTGGCAAGCACTCCGCGCAGCGCGGAGTGTCTAATTTTACTCTTCTTCTTTTGTTTTTTTTCCTTACGGACTTATTTTTTTTCTAAATTTATTATTATTATTTTTTTAATTTGGCTATAAGTTTTGCTACAGTTATCGAAATTGAGCCCAT